ATTTACATACTTCATTATCTAAACAGGTTAATTATTAAATACTTATTTTATTAAAATAAAGTAGTATACAATAAATAATGTTATTAGTCAAAAACAGTTTTAACTTTTTTTTATTAAAATACTTTAAAAACATAAACTTTATCATTAACTTAATGTTTTTAAAGTATTTTAATAATGTTAAAGCATTATTGATAGTATAAAAGATAAAATTGTTATTGACTATTAATATTCAATAACAGTTTCATTTTTTATACTAACAATATTAATTTGTATTAATAATTTTGATTTAAAATTTTCTTAAGTAATAAAAAATTATTAATTATTATTAATTAATTGTTTACTACTTAAACTTTGTAACAATATTTCAAGTGTGTGCTGTTTGTAATTAGATTTTTTTAATATTTTCATCGTTAATTTACTGTTTAAATTTTTATTCAGTCATTTATGATGGTATAGTTAAAAAAATTAAACAAGAAACAACAAGACAGAATATAAACTATTTCTTGTTGGAAACAAGATCGAACTGATACTGAACTGTCGAAAGATAAAAAAATACAGCTAGTTGCTGTTTTTATATAAAGTTTCTAAATTGAATTAGAATTTTCTAGATTGAAGAATTTTCTAAACTGGAATATCAAATTAATGTAAAAATGCTCACAGTATAACAGTGAGCACAGTATAAACCCTTAAGATTTGCATAAATCATTTTACGTTAAGAGTTATTTAATTTTTTGTGAAAAAACTACTTTTTTTCAACAATTATTCATACAAATTTTCACCTAAACTGAATTTTCTTAAGATATTAGGTGTTTTACGTAAAATCCAAGGGTCATTCGGAGTATTAGATTATATCAAACACAAACTCAAAATTTCAAGTTAAATGTTCAACTTTCGAGTCGTGTTTTGAGTTACAGCAAGTATGCAAAAAATTGAAAACAGAGAAAAATGCGAAACAAAAATAAAATGTTTAAAAAATAAATAATTTAAAAAATCTCCTTATTAAGCACCAGTTTGATATGAATCTACTGATTCTTTTTCATTTATTTTATTAAAAAAAATTTTTTTTTCTGGCTCGCAATCCTTTTCTATGCTTTTTAACTGGAGCCGTGAACTTCTTTTCCATTCGCTTAATGCGTAAATTATCTAAATTTGTTGCATTTGCCTTTGAAATTTGCCCTTTCAAACCAAAATGTTTTTTTTGCGTCCCTCATTAAAATCGAGGGTAAAATTTATGACGCTCAGCGGATTATTTGTGTTTGTGAAATGAAATAGTATTGCATATATGGCTTTTTTCATAGCATAAACATTGTGAAAGGTTTAATCTAATTGCCATACCATAATAATTTTGAACGTAATCAATGCATTTATCCGTTAGTTGACCTTTTATAAAGATAGGAGTTTTTGTACCTTTGTAAGATTCAACAAGGTTGCGTAATCGGGTTCCTCATCGCTTTTGCACATGTCCAACGCATTCAAGTTTAATCGGTATTAAACTATGTTTTACATATGGTTTAGATCTAACAATACCATTAAAAGATAAAGTATTACATTCACCAAGATATTCTTTGTAAATTATGTTGTGCCTAAAAATTGACCAGTTAAATATATCAACAACACCAGATGACTCCATCGCACGAGAGGATTTTTCATGATTTATTTGACAGTGGTGATCAATTTTCAAGAAACCATATTCAAGTGAACCTTTTTTATTCTCCCACATTTGCATCCAAAGCAGTGCTTTGACTTTACTACCATATCCAAACACTTATCACCTGATATTGCAGTTACTACCCCATGCAAAGGAGCATGTCCTTCTTTTTGCCAGGAACCGTCAATGGAAACATGTACACATTTTATATTATCTACTAAATCTATTTTTTGATTTTCTTCAGCAGCACGTTCCATACTACTCTCTGCAACATTTTTGTAATCTGTCATTAATTTCTTGTTGAACAGTTTAAAAGAGAATGATGCCATGGACTTCAAGTTCATGATAGAGGAAAATCCACAACCTATTTCCCGAAAACCAATTACAGCTCGGGCATTTACATAAAATGTTTTGCAACCTTTAAAATCACTTTCTGGATTGTAGGAAGTCTTAGGAGATGTATAAAAAGATTTCATCCAATCACATATTGAACATTTTAAAAGAATACAATGTACAAAACCCATTCACTTTAAATGTTGATCAATAACAACAACATTAGCAGCACGATCAGGACATGCAATAAGTTCACGACATATATTTGCTAACACATTTAAATGAAGAAGTAAGAAAAAACCTTCAATAGTATCAACCAAACCCTCTGAGTTAGACTGATCAACAGTATAAGAAATCTTTTTTGCTAAGGATGATTGAAGGGATTCACCAATAACACAAGGTGTCACAGTATTTCCTTTTTCATTTGAGAAACATTTTTTTTCTTTTTGATGTATTCTTTATATTCTTATTTTTACTACTATCTTCATGAAGTTTCTATGTATTAGTTATTAAAACAATCTAAATTCATAGGCATACGGTTCTCTAAAGAATAAATTTTTGTGAATAATATAAATTATAAAATGTTCAATCAACTTATTTATCTGTCTGAGTAATGTTTGTGACTTCAAAATATGATATTTAGACCGCTAAAAACATAGCAGATACATTCTTGTGAATGTCCTGAATAAAATAAGGCACATATTATGAGAGAAAAATAAAGAACAAACTTCTGTTTACGGTAACATGGGACGTTGCAATGGACTATGAGTTTAACCAATAGTTTAACCAATTTTTCTTAATAAGTTTTCATGCTGATTCTGAAAATTATATTCATTTTTTTTCATTTTAATTATTTAGCCTTCTACTTCGATTTTAATAAAAGTGATTATATTGACAAAAAAAAGACATTGCTAAAAATAGATGAAATTTATTTATTATTATCATTAAATATAAGAAAAGAAGAAAACTAGAAATCTTGTACTGTTTAATTTATTAATAATATACCTAATCATTTATAAGTAACAAAAATAATTAAGCATTATATATGAAAATAATTCAGACAGTTTGTTATTTACTATTGAAAATGGAAAATAACAATAAACGTCATCATATGTGATAGAGATTGCTGCGTGAACTTTCCTTATAGAACATCTACACTCTAAAAAAAAATCCGTTAAAAAATCAACGGAGTAACTCCGTTGACAGTAACTCCGTTAAACTCCGTAAAGGATACAGATTTAATTGATACAAAATAAGGGAGTAATCCGTTGTTTTACAACGGATTACTCCTTTAAATATAAAATAACAGAATAACTTTGTTAAGTTAACGGAGTTTAAGCGTGTAAAAAGGAGTTCATAAATATTACTTTGAACACCTAATATTTATTTGAAAATAAAAACTTATTTAGTTAGTGTATTAAATTTTAATTACTGAATATTATTTTGTGTCTTTGAGGTTAGTTATTTTCATTATTAATGTCACTTCTTGATTAAGTTGAAATTTAACTTACATTAATTAATTAAATGTATAATTAAACGTTTTATACATTTAAAGAACGTATGTGCTAATTAAAGTATGGTCTTCTGATCGAATTATTAAGAAGTTAGTTGCCATCAATAACAGTGAAGAATTTGCCGCGAAAGGTGACAATATAAAAATATTTTAAAACAAACATGCAATGTTTTAAATGCTCAATTTATTTTGCAGATTTATTCAATCTTTTTTACCATTTTCGAAATTTTCATGGCTTAAGCTACAAGGGGATCTGAAATACGCTGTATGTTTAATAACTGTCCACGAGTATTTCTAAGCTTTAGTAAGTTAAAAAAGCATTTCCAGCATCATCATTCTGTTGTGCTAGTTCAAACTTTTGGCTTCAACAATAATGAAAGTTGCAGCAACAACTTACAAAGTGAGTCACATGAAGATGCATTTGACACAAATTTTCCAAGTGACCTAGATCAAGATTGTAATAATGCCACAATTGTTAACTCTAATTCTATAACAAGAGACAGTATTGAACTATCTGTTATGAAGTTTGTATCAGAAATAACTTTAAAACCAAACATCACTTTAGCTAATTCGCAGGTTGTTATGGAAAATATGTCTGGCCTACTAAATGATGTTGCTATTTATGCTTTAAAGACAATAAAAACTTTAGCAATTAATTTGAAAGTAGCTCCAACTAATGAATTTGTTTTTGATGCGATAAAAGATGTCGAAAGTATGTTTAGCATTTTCAATAAAACTGACACTATATATAAAAGAAGCAAATGGCTAACAGAACATGGGTACTATATTGAGGCAACAGAAATATCACTGGGTATACGTGAAGAGCAAAAATACTCTATGGCATTGCAATAGATGCATTCTGTTTTAGTAGAGGACAAATGCTACGTTGTACCTATTGATATCCTACTTGCCAAGATATTGGAACAAGCTTCATCAAAGATTGCTTTCCCACAGTGCACACGAAGTTCACTCCCAAATAAAATACAAGATTTTGTTGATACTCATACTTTTCACCATCATTCATTTCTTCAACGGCACCAAAAAACATTTTTGCTACACTTTTTTATTGATGCGTTTGAAGTAACTAATGTGCTTGGGAGCCATTCACGTGTACATAAACTTGAAGCATTATATATGATGATACGCAATATTGCTCCTGAGTATCAGTCTAAGACTGATAGCATTTTTTTGATAGGTTTATGATATGCGCTAGATGCACACACAGATAAATACTCATACTATCCAATTCTTCATAGTGTTGTATCTTTATTGCAACAATTGGAAAGTGAACAGGGTGTTGTTGTCGTAGTTAATGGAGTGGAAGAAACTATTCATGCCATTTTGATTTTGTTTTCTGCTGATAATTTAGGAGCACACACTTTGATTGGCTTCATGGAAAGCTTTAATGCAAAAATTTTTTGTTGATTTTGCAAGTGTGCATATTTTGAAATTCAAACTTCATTCAAAGCAGAAACGTTTGTTAGGAGGACTCGAGAAGAATATAATATGTGTGTATCAGAATGTAGAAACAATAACTACAATGCTTCAGAATCTGGCATTAAGCATGGTTGTCCTTTCAATTGTTTGTCACAGTTTCACTGCATAGACCAGAGTGCAATTGACTGCATGCATGATGTATTAAAAGGTGTTGTACCTTTAGAAATATGCCTGGTTTTGCAATCACTGATAGACAAAAAGCATTTTCTGCTTGCAGATATCAACAATGTAATCAATAATTATAAACATTCATTGGCTGACAAAAACAGCAAACTACCAGAAGTAAACTTTAAAAATATTCGCATTCAAGCTGCTGAGTCATGGCGTTTGATAAGAAATCTGCCTTTAATGATTGGAAACCTAATTCCAGAAGGTGATACTCATTGGAGACTTCTACTATTGTTACTTGATTGCATGGATGCAATATTTGCACCAACTATAACTGTTGGCCTCATTCGTCAGCTGGAGTTTAATTTGGAGGAACATCATGACCAATTTAAAAACTTATATCCTGAGAAAAGACTTATTCCAAAACATCATTTTATGCAACATTATCCAGAATTTATGGCAAAGTATGGACCTTTAAGCAGGTACTGGTGTATGCGTTTTGAGGCAAAGCATCGATTTACTAAAGAACTTGCTTCTGTTGTTTGCAATTTTAAAAACATTTGCAAAACTATTATGCATCGTAGTCAACTCAAACTAGCAAACACATTGTTTAGTGGGTCTTTGTATACAGACTATGTACAAATTGGCATATGTGATACAGGAATTGTAGGCAATTTGCAATCAGCAGTATCAAATAGTTTGCGCACAGTTTTAAACGTGGACAATTGTGATAAAATATATGTTGCTCATTCAGTAAAATTTGGCTGATATGAAATCAAGCCGGGTTGTGTTTTGTGTCATGGCATCGTGGAAAGTTATTTTTAAGCATTTTCTAGTATGTTTTAACTTTATAAACTGTTTTTATAAATTGTAAAAAAATCATTTGTCTTAATACAGACAAAATCAAATTCACCATTAGTGTTGCCTTCGTTGCAGCCAAATCAAACTACAATAACTTCTAGTATTACACTCTCAGAATCTAGTGTTTCTGTTAACAACAGCCATATAATGAAAGGTGCAAATGAGGCGTTTGTTTCAGCTAATTCGATTAAAGCCTTTCTTGCGCAACACCCTGTAAGTACAATACTTAAATAGTTTTTACATACATACATAGTTGTTCGTATTTTAACAATAGTTAATTTAATAGCAATAATTTAACTTTACTTGCTTTTTTAGCAATAAAAGTTTTCGAAGTTTTGTGAACATTTTTTTAATGAATAGCAATATCATGTATTACTTTACATATATATAATATTTTGTCAATATACTGAAGAGATTGAATCTGGTAAAGTTTCAATCTCTACTAGACAGCACATCATTCGAGTTGTTGTGCACAAAATGATGAGTGTGTATGGTAATTATCCTCATCGATATCAAAAGATTTTAGTGGCAGCAGTGCTAAGTGAGGCACTGGTACTTCCAACATGCATTTTTTATGATTCTACTAATTATCATGGCTTCCTGGAGAGAGGATTGGAAAATGCTAGAAGAAAGTTACCTGGTGTTTATTAAAATTAGTTAAATTAATTGAATATAAATTTAACTGTAGATGCTTACCAACTTTTTTTTATATTAGCAACTTGCTTTGTAATCTCCTTGTTAGTGATCCTCAAGGGAATTCCGGGAACGGTAATTCCCGGGAATCTCGTTGGTCAATTCCCGTTCCCGTTTTTTTATCGAGAAATTCCCGGGAATTTTTTAGATTTATTCTTTTTATTGCAGTTTATTTTAAATTAATTTTCTTATTGATTTCTTTTATTTACTCTAAACTAAAGTCAGTTTTACGCTGTTTGTTTTAATTACTTTTCTTAATGATTTCTTTTTATTAACGCTAAACTAAAGTTTGGCGTACTTCTTTAATTATTACTGCTGACCTCGTGTTTGTTTTTTTCTCCATATAAAATTGAATTGTGTTGAAATTTTGATAAATATTAGTTGAAGAAACTTGGAAATGGTTTTAAATTGAATTGTCATTGGGTTCTGAGCTATCTTGAAAGTTTTAGAGCTCTAGCTGGTCGGGAAGCGGGCTTCAAAGATTCTAACCGGACGGACAGACAGGCAGACGCACAAGAAAGTAACCTTATAAAAACGTTGTAAAAACGCGTAAAATTAATTAGTAATTAGTTATTCTATTAATTAGTATTAGCATGGAAGTATAATACAGAAGGAAGTTCATCAGGCGGTAAACATCAATGCCTTCCCGGGAGTATGCTCGTAACCAACAATAAAAAAAAAAAAGAGTTTCACTGGACAAAAAAACAAAAAAAATTCACTGAAATGATTTTTATCAAAACATCAAAAAATGTATATTCTATAGATATGCCACTTCGTTTTAACCATTACTTGTTATAATTATCTAACAGAACCTTAATTACAACTTGGTAAATATTTAGAATCACTATATTTCAAAAGCCTATATTAGTAAAAGCAGACTTTCTTGTTTTTAATCATAACACGACATTTGATTAAATAGACTACTTAATAAATTTTTAAAAAATTAAAAAAATTGTTCTGTAAATAACTAAATATTATAGTTTCGTTGGGTTTATATCATAACTCCATTCATGCTAAATATACTCCATTCATTTAACATAAAGTTTGACAAAATATAGCTCGTTGCCGTTTCGTTGTCGCCATTTTTAATTTTTGCAATTGAATATTGTTGGCGAACCGTCAAAGTACTTATTTTAAAATTGTAATAAACGTATCTATTTGCGTCATCGTATAAGAATTAAGCGTTTAAGTACAGTCTTGATGCAGTTTTCTTTTGTTTGCGAAACAAAAGGTTACAAGCATAGTCCCGAAGATTTTTAAAGCGGTTTAACTTCCATCTATTTTATACTCCCATGGTATTAGTTATAGTTATTTTTTAAAGTGTAAAGTGCATTGTGCAAGATTGTTAACTTAGATATAATAGCAGAGCATGTGAAAGAGAAGTTTCCAACGAAAAACTTCCCAAAGAATGGATCTGGTGTTGCAAAGATTGTTCAAGGTTTTCATGAAGACATCAAGGCTAAAATAAAATTGTGGATTCAAACTCATCTAGCTGAAGGACATTTCTTTCAACAACTGCAGGGCGACGTTTATTGAACATTAATCTTCATTATTTTGAAAATGGTGTTGATAAAGAAATCAATTTGGGCATGGTTCCAAGCAAGATTGATGGAATTTGGTTTGGATCCAGAGAAACACATTGTTGGCACTTCTGGTGATGGTGCGAGCGCTATGGCATCATTTGGTTTTATGATCGCATCAGAATACGTCCAGTGCAGCGATCATGGAATTCATCTCGGTGTTTTTAAAGTTCTTTATCTAAAGAAACAGTCAGCAGATACTCCAGTGAATGACGACGACGATGATGTCTTTTTCGTTTAGTGTGGAAATGAAGATGAACCTGATGAAGATGTACATGATGCCGGTGAGGACACAAAATCAGACGATGAATAGGAAGCCGATTAACTTCAAATGGTTTTCGCTTATCAATCAACGATCACCAAATTGAGAAAAATTGTGAGCCTTTTCCATCGATCATCGGTCAAAAATGAAATTCTTCAAAAGTTCGTTAAGAGGATGAACAACGGGAGAGAACTTAAGCTGAAGTTAGATTCAAAGACTCGTTGGGGAAGCCTTCTTGATGCTTGCGAAAAGTTCTTGAAGTTACTTGGACCTGTGAAAGAAGCTCTGAACCACAGGGAGATTGACAAAACCTACTTATGGGCAGGTATTGACTCAAAAAGATTGGAGGAGCTGATAGAAGTTCTGAGTCCAGCGAAGTTGGCAATTCAATTCTGGTCAAACAAATCAGTAAATCTCATTGGTTGCAACACAACTATCAAGTTTCTCTTGGACAATCTAGAAATGCATGATCATCAGCTCTTGCAGGATATCTATTTGGCTATCAAAGAGAAAATCAACAAACGCAGACATGACGTTCTTCAATCACTCATCCTTTACTTGCACGACATCAACAGCATTAATGGGCCGAATCACTTTGCTACATCGACTGTTGCAGCTATGAGCAAACTTGCTGTGAAATTGATGGAAAGACTCTTTAGTACTGAAAATGATGATTGTGTGGAACAACCTAAACAGCAAGAAGAACCATCAGCATCAACATCACAGCAGGTTCAAAGAAGTTTAGCTGAGAAACTAACACTTGCCTTGAAAGCTTCAAGAGAGGTCACCAACAAGCAGGCGGGCAAAGTTATTGACTACAAAAAGGAGATGCAGATGTATGCGAAGACAAAATTAAGCTCACCAACTCTGGATAGACTTTTCGAGGGACTGAATACAATACAAGTAACATCAGTAGCTGCAGAACGTCGTTTTTCGGAAGCAAATATTCTTGTGAGCAAAGTTCGCAATCGTCTTTGTGACGAGAACATCGATGCTATTTCTTTTCTTAAATGTTATTTCCGAAATAAATTAATAAAGTAGATTCCAATATAAATGTTAAGTCCTTTGTATTGTTTTTTGATTAAAAATTTTCGGGTTTTAGAAAGAAAAAAAATACTGGAAAGCTCATTCCAGGTAACGGGAATGAGCTTTTTTATTCCCGATATTCCCGAAATTGAAATTCCCGGGAATTTGAGGATCACTACTCCTTGTGTGTGTTATTGTGATGTAATTTCTCCACTGTATGTCTCGATTGCAAATAATTCATTTTAGTTACTAAAAGTTTATTTGAATGATTGCCTTATTTTGTGTCATTCAAGCAGCACATTTACAAGTTATGTTTTCTTTTGTATACTAGGATCAGAAAAAAAGTTTGTTTGGTCTCGTAAAAGGGAACACGACTCAACTTGTTGTGATACAACTAAACTTGCAGGTACTGAACTATCTCAACCAGTGGATCATGCAGTAGAATCTGAATGGTGTCCCAGTGGTTTCATGTTTTGCGCATTATGTTTCGGTTATCTAATTATCTATATCTTGTAAAAATCTTTTGGTATAAAAAACATATATGTTGTAAAGACTTATTATTTAATAATTATTTGTTGCTAACAATTTTATTAAGTAAAATAAAATAAAAAAAGACCTAGTAATATAGGTCTTTCTAAATTATTGTTGATTATAATTTTAATATCTATATTGTTGCTCTGTGTTTTTCATATTTGAATTATTTTCAGGAATGAGCAACCTCGATGAAATTGAAAAGCTTGATTCATTATCTTCTACACGTGTAGAAGAAGTTAAGGCTTCTACAAAGTCAACGTTTTGTTTTCGGCAAAATTGGGTTCATTCAACATATCAACCTTCATTATCCCGACTGATGGTTAAATTTCCAAAGTTCAGGATTATTCCAGAGTTGGTATTTTTTTTGTCAAAACTATCTATGTGGCTCTTTTTATCAGATATCAAACTTTAGTGTATAATATTCATACATGTATAAGTGATAATAAAATAATTGTACAGAGAGTTTGTTATTAAATGATTTATAGCAATTAAATTGATAAGATTAATACAGTTTTAGGCATTGTATTCAAAAATATTTATTTTTAGATTGATATGGAATTTCAATTAAAATATTCAGACTGCATGGTTGATATCCTCAAAACCTTTAATCAGTCTGTTGCAGACCCAGTATTAAAATATGCTTCACTGTCAAATAGTGATTACATCAAAGCTCTAGCTATAATGGCATCTAAAAAACATCATGGTTTGCATTAATTTTATTAAAGATATTCTTTTTTTTTGTTCACAAATATTTTTCATAAAGTTACCTTTGCATGTTTGGCACTTTTACGTTTTCGTATGGTTTATATATTTGTTTTAGATTGGAAAGCTTATTATGCATGCAAGTTGGAGTCTCCTTATCCGGTAATATTAATACAGGGGATTGAGGGTGAAAAAATTCTCTCTATAAAGATTGCTTTTGAAAAAACTTTGATTGAAGCCGGTACATCTATTGTAGAAGGCATCGATCGTTTATTCAAGATTTTTTGGTGTTTTAACATCGAATACCAGCCATTAACAATCATGTTCTGGCAGTTTCTGCAAGATATTTTTGGGCTGCAGTACGGTTCGTTGCCTAATGGAGTAATTGAGCTGCGATTAACACTCTCTAAATATGTTTTTACTTAAATGTATCATTTATTTATCTTAATATACATGAAGATTTACAATTTTGTTACAGCGTGTTATTTTTATTTATTTTTACAAATGTTTTGTTGCTGTTTATGTTGTCTAAAACCCTCATCTCTAATACAAATCAGTTAAACTAATTTTTAGATAAACACTAATAATTAGTTTGTTAAGTTTATAGGAGTACTTAGTTGCAAAAATAATACGGAGTAAAACATCTATAACTGTTTTATTTCAGCATTTTTTTATAATAAACAAAATAGTTTTTTTTATGTTACAAAGTATTTTGTAACTTTAACGAACTATCCGTTAACATTTACGGAGTAATTTGTTACATTAGAGTTACGGATTGAATCCGTTAAATCATTACTCCGTTAAATTAACGGAGTACTCCGTTGGTGCTTGAATGAGGGAGTACTCCGTAACCAACTCCGTTGATTTTAACGGGATTTTTTTTAGACTGTAGGTTATGAGCGTCTTCTTTGGTAGACATAAGATGGAGGTTTGTATTTTTATATCAACAATCATGTATTTAAACAGACCAGACCTCCGCGACAATGACCTACATTGTATCCCTAAAATAAAGAACCTCATTTTTCGAACTTTTTTTTTCATTTTAACATATCTTTATCTACTTCAAGAATGTCTTGTTCACAGCTAAATGGGCTGCCTTGTAACTTTAATCAAGTGCTAAAACAAAACTCATCTTGCACACCTGATGTAAAGTTTGCTGCTCCTCCATTGTCATCCATTTGTTTTTATAGCTAGTTTCAACTATATTCCATAGTTTCAACTTTTTGGACAATTAACTGGACAATAGTTCTCCAAAATATTTTTAAACTACGCGAACCTTGATTTTTTATATGGTTTAAATAATTAAGTATACATCTACTCTTGAAATTAAATGGATTTAATTTCAAGAGTAGATGTATACTTTGTATAAAGCTTTGTAACTGCAACAACCTAATTAGAAAGTTAATACTAATCATATTCCATCATCAACCAAACACATAATAATTTTCACTTTATGGAAGTCCTGACGCTAACTTTTGCCAAAATACTCTAGCAAGAATGATACAATCATTTGACCTCTTTGAGGTATACTTATTAACTGCTTCTAGAATTTTTTTTAACTAGCTATTCACTGCGTTTTAGAGTAAAGCAGAAAATTTCAAAATTTGATCACCCAGTTTGTTTTTCATAAAGTCTTTTAGGTAGCGGTGTTCCTTTATACTAACTGTTTATCTTTAGAATTGTTAAAACTTTAGAATTTAACTGAACTTCTACAACTGGCACTTTAAAAGAAGATTTATTCTTGACTTCATTAAAGAAAATTGAAAAAAAAATGAAATCTTGAATAGCCTTTTTGATAGTTTGAATAACAATTAAAAAATAAATAAAAAAAGGAATTTAAGATATTTTGAAGCAATCTGTCGTTTTACTTATTTAAAACGTTTTTTTTAGAAAAAGACTTCAGATTAAACTTTTTTTTTCTAAAACGCAACGATTAAAAATCAAATTTATTCAATCAAAATTTGAATAGCATAAACTTGAAAGAAAAGTTGCGTAACTTTTATATCATTTAAATTTTTAAAATAGAAGTAAAAGGCCATTCATAAACAATTAGCAAAAACTGAATTGTTTTTTAAATTTTTTTACAAAAAATTAAATAAGAATAACTGGTTAAACAAGAAATATAAAATTTTGGACCCTCCTCCCCCCACTTCCCTCATCCCTTCCCTACTAATATATACTTTACTTTAGTATCTTTGTTTTGCTCTGAACATCTGTTCATAATACTTTTTTATTTTATTTTTTATTTTTTCATTTTCTCTCTGTTTCTAATTTTTTCCTTATTTCACTTTAAACATCCAAGTTTATTGTAAACTTGGATGTTTAAGTCTCTCCAATGTTGTAGACTCTACGGATGAAAGATTGTTTGTAATTTTTGGTTTGAATTTTTTCATAATTGCCTCAATTTCTTAATCAATCTGTAAAAAAAAAATTTTTATGTTTTGGTTAATTGTATTTGGAGGTGTCCATTGTAATTTTTTGCGGAATGGGTGAGTTATTTGATCTTTGTCATCTTTACCAAAAAGCATATTTACTTTATCCCAACTTTGTTTCTGGAAGTTTCAATTCGGCCACATGTTTATTTTGTTCTAACTTAGAATATTTTTTTACTGGTCTTTCATTTAGCTTTAAAATTTTCTTGATGTTATATTTTTCATTTTCTAAATGTAGATTATATCTCACTATGATATGATGTTTTTAAAATTAGCTTTGATTTTTTCATTGAACTTAATTTGATAATCAAGGTTAGTAAAAAAAAGGAGAATTAAAGAAAATTTTCTTTTAATTCTCCTTTTTTTATCTATAATCCGTGAACGTTTGTTTTCATAAATATGCAACCTCAAATATCAACACATTCAAACAATTAAAAATAAATTTTAATTACTCAATATCCGGGGTTAACCGGAAAGTGGAACTTTTACACATAAAAATAGAAAGTCTATATTGTATGAAACATTTGAGTTTTTATGCAGACTGTCCTACACAATGTAAATGTACTAATTTAAGGGAAAAAATGAAAAGTCAGAAAAATGAATTTTTTCATGTACTGGGCACACTGAGCATGTTAGCGTGGTTACTTAGTCTTTAAAATTTACAGCTCCAAGTTAGCGTGATTACTAAGTCTTTAAAATATACACTGCAATCTACAGACTAATAGTTTATTTAAGTGCGTTTAATTCTAAAGAATTTTTGTATATGACGTCAAGGCCGTGCAGAGCGCAAGTTGGCCGAGCAAATTGCTCGGGGCCCTGGCTCCTATGGGGGCCCCATAAGTGGTTGACTTTAATAAAACTACCCGCAGAAATGCAATTAACTTTTTGGGTTTTTTTTTTTATCCCTTTATCCTTTTCTCGAGGTTGTACTTAGTCCAGCAAAGACAGCAGTATTTTGTTTTTTAACTCAATTTTTTTCACCCGGAAATCAAGTTTCACATTTCCACATTTTGTGAACCGCCAAATCCTCAATGAAGCAGCTACCTGGAGAAAAACTATAAAACAAGTCTAGGATGTGATTCTGTTTCTTGGCGAACGCGGATCGGCTTTTTGTGAAAATCAAACCTAATTGGAGATTCTCAAATGGATATTTCTTAGGATTGCTGAAACTAATTTTAAAACATTGATATTTAAAATATATGGTTTAACAGAGTTGTTTGTTTTATGTTTAGTCAACATTTAGTTTATATGGTCAGGGTTAAATGTTTTAAATTTTTATTGTAACTGTAGTATATTTTAGTACAAATATTGGTTTTAACTTTTATTTAGTTTAATTTATGCGGTTATTGTTGAAATAATTGTTTAAAATAATTCGTTATACACTTAGTTTCAACTTAGTCTAATTTATTTTATTCAAATTTTATTCAAATCACTCGTTTTATATTCATTTTACATTTAAATGAAAAGAGACGTTTTAGTATAATAATTCTTTTAGTATTTAGTTTATATTTAGTTCTAACCAGTACGGTTTATTGCAAATATTTTATATACATTATCAAAATTATTCCTTTTACATTTAATTTACTCTACACGGTTTACTGGAAGTATTCCTTTTTCCTGTCAAATTTTTATTTAGTTTTACTTAATTGACACAGTGCAGTTCAAGTCGTTAGTTTATAATTAGTTTATTTTTAATTTGACGTGGAAGATAGGTATTAAAACTTCAACCAAAACATCCCATTTAAAAGAAAGTAGTTCACTTTTTATGTGTTTCAGTAGCAATCTTGATTAATTAATGGATAAATTAGGCAAAAAAATAGATTATGGCAGGAATAACTATAAATAGTTTAGCTGTGTAATTTATTATCAGTGATTATATATTTGCTTATTTGTTTTTATGCAGTCAAGATATTTAACAATTATAAATGATTCCCATCGTTGTTGTAAGAATAATGTGATAAATCAAATAACATTACAAAATTCCTCAATTTTTCAGACATGAAGCACAGCAACAAATCAGCAGTATTATATCAAACAACAAAAACAAACACATATTATAATAAAGAAAAGTACGCGCAGATTTACTTAAAGAAAGAGTATAAAACTATACCAGCGTTGAATTAATTCGTAAATTATGTAGTTAATTCCAGGTTTTCGTCACGAAATGGATATGGTACTGATCCATATAAAGATTCAATACTCTAGTATGTGACATTTCGAAAGTTTTAATGCTCACTACTAGAAATTAAACCCACTTTTAAGTCAAAGCTTTTTTATGTTGCAATATTTGAAAGGACATACTACTGCTTTGCAAAACAATTTAACTTGTCTCATTTAATATTTAAAAATTAAATTACCGCCCCATTTCTCATAGAAATGGGGCGGTAATTTTTGGCTGACCTCGAACACTTTTAAATTGGCATTTCTAAATGCTGACCTAATTCCGATTGCTAAATAACAATGTTTTGTAATAAATAATGCATACCTACGCAAATGGAAAAAGTTTGTTATGAGCGAGCTAGGGTCCTAATTTAGTTGTTTTACTGCGTACACACTTTAGGCATGTTTTTTTGTATTTAGCAAGTAAAGACTTTTGTTAGAAAAATGGATAGAAGAAGCTTTGGAAACTTTTGGACTAAAAATGTAAAATATTCTTCTAATGAAGGCAAAAGGTTAAATACACTTCATTGGAAAAAAAAAATGACGATGGTGTTCCTAAAAAGAAAAGACGTTGTTGAAAACATCAAAACAGCATAGTTTTCTTAGAAAAAAAAACTAAAAAAAAGTTCGTAGAGATATTAACAGGGATGTTTTGGCTAAATATGTTCCTGATAAGTTTTATCATTATTATTATCTGGTAAGTTTAAGTATTGTTAACATTTAAAATATACCTTATACAATAAACCCTGATTAGAATAAGTTTTAATGAATTTAAATGATATTTTTAAAAAACATTTTTTAATGAATTTTTTAAAAAAACATTAGAAAAAAAAT